AATTTTCGCGGAGGCATCAATACGACAGTCATCGTCTCATCGGTCGCTGTTCAGAAAGAAGAGTGAAACATCGTCAGAAGTAATACAGAGATTTATTATTGTAATATTTGTTTTCAGACCTTAGTTCGCTTATTCTTTTTATATGTTGGTGTAACAATAAACAAATCTCAAGCGGCAGATCGGTGTTTTGGTTTTTTCGTCCGTTATAACTAATCGTTTCCGAAATCTTCGAAGAACAGCGTGGGCCCGAGCGTAGCGAGAGCTGGGCATTAACGGTTTATGAGACGTGATTGACAGAAGGGCTTCTATCCGGTTTTCTGAACATATTCCCAAAAATCTGTGCCTGAAAGGAAGCAGATATTCCCAGAGTGCAATTACCAGGCACATTATTGATACCGGACATCTCGTAGAGATTTCTAAGTCCTTCAAAATATTAAATAGACAAAGGACAGCAAATTTACTACGATTTGCCGAAGCAATCGCAATCAAAACTGTACAGGAAGCATTCTACATTGCAAATTAACGTCGTCAGCCTATGGAGTTTCTTTATTAATGCATTTATTAGTGATACTTCCACTTGCCCATTTCATTACATTTTAGTGATTCATCTTAGCACTTTTAATTCTCTAAAACACCTTCCAATCCCTTGTAAACCTTGCACTTACCTCAATATTGGTTGATTATCGTATGACAACCACGGGATGAAAACGAAACGAAGTCGATTTTCCCGCTCAACCTGGAGGACAACTGTACAATTCAATAACTATACGGCCTAGTTCAGACAATGAGTGTATTTATATATATATCACATATTTAATTTTCGAAACATTATTAACTTGTAGACAATCGACGATTTGACATTATACCATGATTGATCGTGCCTGTAAACATGGCATGCACAGCGTGTGTGTCCAACAGGCTGCTTCAGACTTTCATCAACAGCTACCACCTTCACTCGCTCCATACTGATGATTAAATGGCTGGCCAGAAAGAATAAGCAACAAGAAACTCTGCAGTGGAACAAACCAACCAACCAAGAGTCGATTGCTCAACAAATATGTAGGAGAAAATGGAGATGGATGGATCGGGCATACATTGAGGAGACCATCTAATGACATCGCACACAATGCAGGCCAGAGCTCGAGTAGGTCACCACTCCACAGTGAAACGGAAGAGATCGTGAGAAAAGGAGATGATAAATTATGGGCAATCGTAGACCCAGATGAAGAGGGCAGCAGAAAATAGAACAAAGTGGAGATTTGTTGTTGAAGCCCTATATGCTCCACCACTCGGAACCCAAGAGAATAATAATAATAAATAACTGACATGACCATTGAAAGTGGAAGATATGAAAAGGATAGCTGTTTCTCACTGCAGAGGTTTACATTTTATCTCCTGTGGTGTTAGGTGGGATAATATATTGAGTAACATCAACGTTAGGCACAGAATGCTAGTTAAGAAGGTTAAGCCAATCGATGGGGTTGTGAAACTTTACATGGGATGGCCAGGACACGTATTATGCATCCTAAACTACCGTCTTCCTCAACGCACAATGTTAGCCAACATATAATTAGGTTAGGAAGCAAGATTATAGGTGGTCAAACCAAAGTCTGGTGTCAAATCATGAAGTCTTTGGCAAGTTGACTTTAATCACGCAGAGAGATGTAGACTGTCATCCGGTTGAGTTCATCGGAATTCTAAGAATCAGCTGCTTCAGAATATTGGTGATACGGCTCAAAATATTTCTCGATAGTGCAGATGTATTCAGTCTTTGTAATCTACTATATCCATTAAAGCGTTGTCTCGTATTTATCCATGTTACTATTCTCTCTCTCTCCCTACAATTCTTGATCACTACAGTTCTGTTTTTCAGTCTTTTCTGTAACTTTTTGTGCTGCATGAAGTGTGACAAATTGAACTGCCGTACTTTTTTTGAGAAGTTTTACGCTCAGTACTCAATCGTTCAGTAAGTCAGTCCGATGAGCCACATCTCCACCTGTAGGCAGTCAGACTAGAGGAGCAGATATATATATATATAATATGTAACATGGATGAGCCATAGCTTTTTCGCATTACAAATGACTCATCATATCCTTTCTTGACCGTGACAGTACATAATTTTTAGAAAAGATGATGACAACCTTCATAAATTCCTGTAAATCACTGATAAAATCAAGCTTGTTTGTGAACGTAATGGCCTTCAAAAGGCGAAAACTTATAAGTTGCTAACTATATGATATTTTATATTGTACATGATGATAAATCGTGTCATCCTGAAGAGAATACAAGATTAACTGGATGCAGAAAGAACTCGACAAGGTCAAAACAAGCTGGATCCATGAAAGGCAAATCATGTACTGATCAAATTACAACTCTCTTTTCATCATAGGACAAGGTATAGAATGGAAGTCAAACCTCTATATTATTATTGTTTCGAATAAAGTGATTAATATTGTTATTAACTTCATCAACTTCGAAAAGGCCTTCATCAAATAGCGTTTACCGAGAAGTAATTTGGAAACTACTTGAACACTATGACGTGCTCCAAATCTTTATCCATCTCGTTCGACAGGTGTATGATAATGTCACTTGTCAGGTGATCTACAACAGAATACTGAGTGAAGCCTGTGAAGTGCATACAGGAGTAAGAGAAGGCTGGCTGGCTGGCTGCCTATCATCACAGATGATATTCTCAATTTTGGTGGACTAGATTATGCGGAAAGCTCTGCATGGAAGCGAGAAGACAGAAATACACTGGACCACCGATAAGAAGACTCTAGAAGATCTGGATTTCACAGATAGTATATGTCTAATGTCACGCAAACTCTAAGACCTACAGTCGAAAACCAACGAGCTGGCAGACGATGTAAAGACAGGACTTCAAGTGAACATACAGAAGACGGAGGTGATTAAGATAACCAACCAACTAACAACAACAACAACAACAATAAGCGTCGATCAACATCAAAGGGAGCAGTTTGAAAGAGGTTACTCCCTCCAATTATCTACGAAGCTTTGTTTCAACGAAAGCAGACAGGTACGGATGAAGATTTCAAAGCCAGACAGACAGAATTAGAAAGGCAAGATACGTCTGAATCAACCTAAAATCAGTGTGGAAGTCTTCTGCACACAGTCGGCATAAACAATAAGATTCAGATTCTGTCCAACACCAATGTGAAGTCAGTCAATCACTTTTATATGGATAAGAAACTTGGCTAGCGCATCACGAAAAGCACTTCTGACAGGTTAATGTAGACTTTTATAAATAGCTGTCTTCACCTCGATATTGAAAATCAAATAGCCAGAAATAATCAGCAAAGAGAAACTCTGGAAACAAATGAACCAATCAAGAACCTGTTGTTCAACAAATATGTAGAAGAAAATGGAGATGAATTGGGCACATACTACTAAGGAGACCGTTGGATGACACCGCACGTCAGGCCATCGAGTGAAATCAGAGTGCGAAATGACGATTGAGTCGTCCAAGGGTGACATGAAGGAAATAGTGAGAGCAGATGAGAGACTATTGGCAATCTTTGGCCCAGCTAAAGAGGTTTGCAGGAGAATAAAACAAAGTGGAAGTGTGCTTTTGAAGTCCTATGTCCCACTAGGAATCCAGGCGAACAATAATAATAGTAATAGATGATGTGATATTAACTTCCATCTGTGTATGATATGATGGCTACATATAACAGCTATGCTTTTACACTATCCTTAATTTTATGAAACTACTACAACCATAAATATAATATCTGTAGTAATAGTCGCAAGAAATTCCCACAATCGCAGGTTCCACAAACAAGTTTTCCAATACTCTTGGTTCACGGAAAATCAGTAACAAAGGAGATGAAAAGGTCATAAAAACGTTTCTCTATAAATGATGAAAGAATATTCGTTACGTATTACAATTTATGAGATAATCGACTTATAGGATCTATTTAAGGAAGCCAGAATTATGAGCATTAGACAATAGGTAATAGGAATAGACATGTCTCTGAAAGATTTATTTCCCCAAGAGTGGAAAACACCTACACAATGGCAATAGCCAAATAATCACATTATTAATTAAGCACAATGGTTATTTTGTGCAGAATGTAAGTCAAATCCGTATACATATTCACACTAATGGTTGTGTAACCTTATTTTTTGCCATAGCTAAGAAAGGCAATAAGACATTTTAAAGATAAGCCATTTTAAGTATAGAACCGTAGGTGAAACACCACTAAAACTTCCAATAAAATGAGTAAGCACATTCAACATAACACGTATGGATAGCAAAGTCAAAGAGTTATTTATCACTTGAAACAAACAACCTAAAATCTCTAAAGACAATACCATCACAGTTAATGAGGGGATGTATGTCATTAGCTCACGATCTGCTCTACTTCAGACTATTTAGGAGTTTTTCGGGAGATGGAATGCCTTTGAGAATCTGTCGAACATAATATAGGCCTACACACTTCCCTAACAAGGATTTTCTGATTTCCTTCACGTTCTCAGTGGAACATAGGACCTCAAGCTAGTGGCTTGAAGTTTCTGTAGCAGTGTTTAATTTTAAAGGATGGGGTTGCTAGCCTCATGCCCAACCTTTCCTCTTTACCAGCATTATTTCTGGCTTAGCGAGGAAACAAATATAAAAGATTGGCAATTTAAAAGTAGAAAATACTAGTTCTATACTATGTCGTCTAAGTGTAAGAAAGTATAAGCTAGTTGTTTAAAAGTCATAAATACACCTTTTGCTTACTTGGCTTGAATAACTATGTCAAATCCGCAATTCCTTGGGTGCAGAGTCAGATTCACACTAAGCTTATGACTCAGTACTGGGAGGTCTACACAAGACTAAACTAATATAAACATAACAGAAAAACTTCTCATAATGACAGATGATGATACCAAGTACTTTCTACAACTTTATTGTTATCGACCTGTTATAACATAATACTAAGTGTTTTTAGCAAACAAATCTACTTGATACAAATTCTTATCAGTTAAGCAAAAAGTCATTGATATGCATTCAATTTTAACATCTGTAGTTCATTTTTCCCTCGAAATGGATCATAAGTATAAAATTTTTCAGGTGAATTCTGCAGTTATAACGAACGAAGATCCCTTCCCCCTCCCCCCAAAAAATGCTAATTTTGTACAACTAAAATCCACATAAAATTTAGAAATATTAATCGTATCACAAAAATATAGTACGGGAATGAAAAATAAAACACTCTAGTTAAAGCTAAGTTACATTAACAGTATAAAACTAAGGTGAGTTAATAAAGCTTACCTCTGGATCTGTACATTTCTGTGTAGATACAACATTTTCAGTCACCGGATCTGTGTTCGTATTAATGGTTTGACTTGTTGGAACTTTGTATGTTGTCTTTGCATGATGAAGTATTTTAACATTCTCAATATTATTTAACTGCTTTGCATGATATGACTGTCTGCTATTAGACACCGGGTGACTAGATGCTGAACGTTGATTTGGTGATTTTGAACGTTTAGTTAGTGATGTTGTACGTCTGGTTGACTTAGGTAAATGTTTCGTTTTGCTAGATGGACTTAATCCATGACTGATTGGATCATCATAGGTTGTACTCTTAGAGCGTACTCTTTTAGAAAAACGAAATTTCATTTCCTCTAGAGTTCGAGAATGATCACCGCTAGAGGATGGTGCATTCTGACGTTGGACAACAAAAGATCCGAGCTCTCGAACAGCATCCAACATTTTATCATAAGCTTCCTGATTGCTTTTAAAGTTCTAAATAAAACAGGAACAAATCGGTTTTATAAAGACAACAAATTCATACCTTTTTTGATAAACTTTTGTGTTTGGATGATCGGTCAACTTCCAAAATCTGAGAATACAAAATTATATCAAAACAAAAATGGTACCTTGTTGACAGCTACATGCAATTTCTTAAGATGATGTTTGAAAATTTGTGACGAAGATGATTCCTGAATAAATATGATAGACAAATTCCAGAAAACTTACGCCAAATGGCCTTGGGTTATTCGTTTGAAATCGTTGGAGTTGAGTGGATTCATTGGTCGATTGTGGAACCACCAAATGTCCTCCAGACTCATTATTTTCTGAAGCTTCATCATTAACAACGTTATTTTCTCTCGATATATACTGTAATGACCTCAATTCAGTCTGGTGAACGAACTTTAGTTACATTTACGTAAAACAGAAATTTATTCTTACTTGGAAATCATTATCCTCTGGTTCAGGAGAGCTCATGATGAAAACATTCAAAATATGTAACAAGCACTAAACTTCGTCCAGTGAATAAACGAAGTAAACCTTTAACTTATCAAGCAATTTGACGCGTGGCTACTTCAAGCAATCCTGTCAAGCTAGCCGCTCTACTAGTTTCCATGCGCTAATGATACAAGTACTCCTGTAAAACAAAATGTCATCATTCGAAATTAATGGCTTCAAAATACCTTGGGATTACTTTACAGTAACAGTAGACTGTTCCAAAGTATGAGACTGCTACGACAATCATCACAGAAAAGAATGTGATTTGGACAGTGAGAGGATAACAGGAAAAATTGAAGAAGTGGGAAAAATTGGATAAGTAAAGTGACATAAGAGACAATACTGAGACTAAAAGTACTGTGGAAGTCACTGGAAAATAAATAGGGAGTTTAGAAAATCCAGGTTCGCTATAGACTGTTCCTATTGGAAGGGTAAATTTGAATGATGCTTTAGGGTGGCGTAGTGAAACTGATGCATGTTTTAGGGTTTATACGCATTTCTAACTCTCACACTGCATTCCAACATTCCGAAGTCCCTTGGAAAACCACTCAAGTAGTTCATACTACCTATACGTATTCATACATCCATGTCCTTGTTGCACAGTAATGATTGTATTGTCTTCTGCACTTTGGTACATACCACCCCCGTGATTCTTTTATGTGGTAGACTGTGTGACGGCACAACATAGAGTCTGGGAGTTCCGTGAATGCCAAGTTCACGCTCCATGTGCATGTATGGCAATTCCGATTCCTTTCTTTTGTCTTCTATATCTCCTGATGGAAAAGACACAGCCTAAATTTATATCCGTGCATGATATGGTGCAGATCAGCTGTTTTTGTCATAATAGTGGTCTTAATATCCGGATGAGAATGCATGAACCTGAGTGCCTCCAGTTTTCTTCTCCACTTCCTCAAATCTCTGTACAGACACAATCAGTTGAGTCTTGGTGCCTGAATTGGCTGTCTCATCTGATCGTACCTCTGAGGACAGATGAAGTGTGGCTTTTCGGCATTGCGACAGTTGCACTATGTTTGCACCATGTTTGTTATCTAATCTCTTATCTTCAGCTCTGCTGGAGGCAGAGTGGGAATGAAGACAGGATCCAGTTCAGAACTTTCAGCTGTCCCACTTGGACACTAAACACTTCAACTACTCATATTGTTGGATGAGTAATAAAATTGGGCAAGAGAACAAGAGGAAAGTAGTCTAGTAAGGGTAAATACGAAGAAGACAAATTACCGACTTTACTTACCGGATAAATCAGATTCACTGTAGAAAACCCAGCCGAGAATCAAGTCCTGTTCAGCTCGTTGAATTAAAAAGATACTGTGCCTGAAGTGCACAGGAGTCTGATAAAGAATCGAGGGTCGCTAGAATACCATGTCCCTGGGTAAACGGGATCGTTCTGTTTGAAGCAGAAGTTCGATGAGTATATCGTACACCTGCAGTTGAATTCACGCAGAAATGCTATAAACTAATGAAGTTTTATGGGCTATGCCCTGCATAGTTCTGTACTCTTATTTTCCGTGCGTTGATTTTTTGCATCTGCTGGAGTTGTTACGTTTGATCACACTACTAAATACGTCCATTTGAGCTTAGTTCATTAAGCACAATTACTTTGCTCCCAATAATATTTGCCACGGTTTCTAAGTCGGTTACTTTCTGGGTTCAACGTTTTGGGTTCTTCCAAAATCTCAAAAGATATATCAGTTTTTCAGTGCTACGGGTTATTTGAATAAGTGGTATTTGCTCATGCCTTTGGTAGTTGAATCAAACTACAAATCTTTGGTGAATGAACAAAGGAGTAAGACGCATAATCCCGATTTAATGAATGCCATTTTAGGTTGAAACTACTAAGACATCCATCCCGCCCTCACGTAAGAGTCAAATGCATTAGGCACGCGTTCGTATCCATGATACTAACACAAAACTATCGGTGTGTGCATGAATATCTAATGAAAGGCTTTAAATTTCTAAACTTAGTTGTACAGAATTACGAGTGGTCACAGATGATAACGGCAACTTAGCCTTAGGTTGAGAGATGCTTCAATTTGGAGACAGTTATCGCAAGCTCCCTCACACTTGGTGACTTACGAGATATACTGTGACAGACGGACACATGGATCATTGTTTACGTGACCCGTAAATTAGTCATTTTACGATCTCATACAAGGTGTAGGAACACTGGAGTTTTGCTGATGCATATTATTCAGTTGAAACCAGTTTTTACATCTTGAGCTAGTTATTTTTGGTAATGTAAAATGATTGCACGATTATAATGACCGCGACTTAGGTATTTTGGTCTTAATGCAGGAAATAAGACTATATGTTCTCTCCAGTTTTCTAAATGCTCTTGACTTATCAACTGTCAGAATTTATATTTCAGAAATTTCAAAACGTGATTCGAAGTGACAAAACTCGTCGTACTATTAATCAACAGTAAGTCGTAACAAAGATGAAAAGGCTACCTCGTCAGTTTCGTCAGAAAACTATATAGTCAAAAGATTTCTCACATACAAAATACACATTGTACAGCGGAACTAATAATTCAAACGCGTCGTAGAACATTTCTAATGAGGAGTCAAAAATTTATCTTTAAGAGTCAAATAGAACAAAGCATGTTCCCGCAGACATTCTCTGGGCAGTAAGTCACTTAAATGCATATTCTTTTGACACATAAAAAACCGCACTGGTAAAACAACAATTCGTTATTCATCACAGACGACCTGAAGACCACCCGTGCCGTCCTCAGTCCTTGGCTTTGAGACGTTCGAAAGCCCTTGACTGTTCCTCCGTAGGGTGTTGTTCGCCAGGTATCGGTGAGTGCGCTACCGAGTATGCCTTGTTTATTTTCGAGAAGCCTCTTTTATTTAAGGAAAATGATCCTATAGCTACTTCAAAACAGTTATGCCGTGAGGCTGCATATATCGTCACCATATTGAGCCTTCATCCCTTCCTCTTAATACCCAACCTTCAGCTTTTCTTTCTGAAACGAGGGACATGTTTGACCCTCTGCCTAGGAGGGCGTACATTTCTAGACACCCTTTCGGCCCGAACAACTTCTCAGGAACTAGATCAAGTTAGACCCTCCCAGTATTGTTCTCATGTCCAGAAAGTGTCACTGATTTTACAGCCTTAATATTATCTTCCGAACGTGGCATTACGTATGTTTCACGAAGGAAAAGATATTGCGGTATGGCCTAGTTTGAGGCGAGCATAATAAACACTTAACTTCCCAACATTTTGTTCACTCATTCTATTGTTACGCCCTCCCAAGCTATGAGAACCCTTACACAGAATGCAGCTACTAGATTTCCCTAGGATACTCTCAGACTGCCTTGCAATACACCATTCAACTAAATCACAATAATATAGATGATACTATTTCCCTGAAGCCCACTTCTTCCTGGCGTCTGCGTCGTGCCTAAGTAGCATCCAGTAACGCTCTGTTGTCTGCAAACATAACCAGATCCTTGAACTCTGGCTCTCTACCAGTCACCAAAGCTCTGTCAGCTACATCAGCCCATTGTGTTTGCATTTCGATAGAGGGACTCCTGATGATTCGTTCCAGATTTTTGGGAGAGTTCAGGTCAGAAATAATTCCAGTACTACTCAACTGTGGAGCTCAGAGACTCCTTCAAGTCGGACACGAACTCGTCCTCAGACTTACAATATAGCTCAGGATCTGTCTGTCTGTCTGTTTTCGACATAGAACTATACACAAATGTGCGGAAGTTCAAGTCGCCACATTCCGTGTAGCACGCGAAGCAAGAGAAGAAAGTACAAGAAAAGCATAATAGAAACAGTGAGCAGAGGTGTGAGACAAAGGAGTAATAAAGAAATACAAAACAGTTTCATTGAAGATTATTAGTCACAGGGAGTGGATGCATCTGCGCCACTGAGAACGATTTTGAGCCATGTCACCAATTGTTTCCAACCATAGATTTTTACCGTCCCGAGGACCCCAGCCTGGAAGTCTACACCTTTCTACGTGGCTTAGACCAACTGTTGTAGATTTCATTGACTAGTGAAGCCAAGTTTTTGTTTGACCGCCGCTAGCTTTTTTCCAGCCTGACCCTATATCCGCTAACATTGCTCGTCGAGGGAGGCGATGGCTTGGCATACGTAACACATGTCCTAACCATCTCAGTCAAGCTGCCTCAGCCCCTCTTCTAATTCTACCTTTCTTACCCTTTCGATTAACAGACACGTTAATATAGACCAAACCTACCAACTCATAAAAAGTAAATCATGTGACGAGAAAGTTTAAAATCTAAGTCAATAAAAATGATCAATACATATGTAAAGATGGTTACAGAGAGATGCAATTCTATCACTCATGGAAAATTTAAATCAGTTAACTTTATGCTAAAATTGCGCTTAAGATGTTGTCCAGAAGGACGTCGAAAGCTCCACATCTTAATCAACCAGCTCAGAGAACACTACTAATTGCAAATATAGCTCTGTTTGGACATTTATATTGTTGTTGTATCCTCTTTCCACTAAAGCGACCAGAATTTGGGCAAACAACAAACACGAACAAAGAGTAAGTTGTAGTTTTAATAATGACCTAGGTGGTTAAGATAAAGCAGAGTACAATAGTGCGTGAATAAAAAGATTATTATGAGGTACATAAGTGATATTTAAGTGAGGAATGAATTCAAAGATCTGGAAAATTAGGACCCATAGGACAAGCTGACCTTGATCCCCCTTATATCTCATTAAACCTAACATTTAATAGCTCTATATGAGTTTGATTCGACTTATTCTACTCCTATTCTCTGTAGAGTACGGCTGTGCACCAAATAGACAAAAATGCATGAAACTTTAAGAAACTATGCGCAATAACTAACACGAAAAACCAGAACGCAAATTGGTGACTCAAGAACCGTTTATTCTTGCACCAATACAGAGCCAACTGTCAATGTAGTTGAAGATTGAACGATCAATTCATGGTTGTTTGCTCAAAACCAACTTCC